CTCTCTCTCTCTCTCTCTCTCTCTCTCTCTCTCTCTCTCTCTCTCTCACACACACACACACACACACACACACACACACACACACACCACTCACCAAAAAGGCCATTACACTGCCATCTCTATTTTCTAATGACTGCCAAGCCTGTCAGGACCATGGGAAGTCCAAGAGACCTGTACCCTAGGTTCACCCTGGAGTGCAGGTTGTCGACTCAGCCGGGTAGGCCCAGCCTTGGTCAGCCTCTGCCCAGAAAACTCATTAGGATGAGGAGCATTGAGTAACTAGAGGAAGTGATTTTCTGTGGCTAAGATGAACCCAAAGAGTGTATGAGAAAGAGACTACGCAGGGAGAGGTCAGGGGTGTGTCTTAATTGGTAGAATGTTTGCCTAGCATGTGCAAGCCCCTGGGTTTGATCGATCCCCAGCACTGCATAAATCAGGTTTAATTGTCAACACCTGTAATCCCAGCATTTGAGAGGAACAGCTCGGAGGGTCAGGAGTTTAAGGTTATCCTTGGCCAAGTAGTGAATTAAGGCCAGCCTCGGCTACCTGAGACCCTGCAGTAGAAGCAGGAAGGAGCAGTGCCTCTCGCCCCACATCTATCTGTGTCTCACCTCCTCCTCAGAGACCCAAGAGTGCCTTGGAGCGCCTGTACTCGGGAGACCACCAGCAGGGCAAGATGAGTGCAGAGGAGCAGCTGGAGCGGATGAAGCGACACCAGAAGGCTCTGGTCCGGGAGCGCAAGAGGACCCTGAGCCAAGGAGAGAGGGCGGGTCTGCTCTCAGCCCGATACCTCAGCCAGCCACTGCCTGCAGACCTTGGCTCAGTATGTTAGCGGGGGCTGGGACAGAGGCCAGAACTTCCCCAAGTCCCCCAAGCAGACACACATCACCTCCCAGGGTGACTTACATGGTTGAGAGAACATCCCGAGGGGCTGCTTGTCCACAACCCCAGCTGCACGTGTGAGCTGGCCAGAGGATGACCGGGAAACAGAGTAGTGGGGAGGATCTAGCAGCAGAGGCCTCACCCTTTCTCCACACTAAGTGAGAGGAGGCTCTGGGCTGAATTAAGGACTTGAGAATGTAGGATTCAAGTAGAGGAAGATGGGGAGGAAGAGTATGATGTACAAGTCAACCACACAGCCTCCTAATCCCCCAAGCAGATACTGCAGCCAGGGGAGGCAACTGAATAAGGGTTGGCGTCCCCAACCCTGAGGTGCTGGTGGCCTCCCACAGCCCACAGTGCTGAGGCCTCAGGTACTCAGGAGGGCTGGGGAAATTGGTGCTGCCCCTGATGGCTGACGCTGCACCTGCCCACGGTTGCCTTAGGCCCATTGTGGGGACATTCCATTTGGCTTTTAGGTTTGGAGCCTCCAGTTCCCCAGCCCTCTAGCCTGACTGCTCCCTCCCTAATTCATTGCACAAGCTCCTACGCTTCTAGTGTCCGCCGCTCATCGCCTCTAACCCTGCCTGATTGTCTTTACAGACGTTCTGAACTGGTACTGGCCCCTCTTTAACTGACCAGTGCTATCTCTGACCAGGCTTGTACTAGCAGCTCACGGCTCCCTAGCCTAGCGGGCATTCCTAGGTGTGGCTTACCTTTCCGCTGCTCTGCTTTGTGTAGGCCAACTGACTGGTAATTTACTCATCCCAAAAGCTGCTCTGTGAGGACCACAGTCATTAGCAGAGATCTGGGCATTGGGGATTTACCGATTCCATGCCTTATACTGGACAGGAAACATCAACTTTAGAGAGTGCAATAGTCTGAGGCCGTTTGATGGTAATTCCTCCTATCCAATCATATGATTCCTTATGGAAAAGCTTCTGTAATTCTGATTTAGTAACTTGAATAGATAACAAAATAAACTATTCAGAGGGCCTCTCTGCAGCTGTTACTCACCAAATGACTAGAATAATGTCTTTAAAAGCTATACACCCATTAACTTTTAAGTATTATAAGTAGACACCATATGGAGTAACCCTGACCTTCTACAACCTGCTGTCTGGCGTACAGAGAGTATTTCAGATCCATAACTCCCATACCTTGTACTTTTTCTTTGGGGGGAAAAAGGCTTGTGTAAGTCTCATCAACGCCAATAAAAATGTTGCTTCCCATGATGGATTGGCGTGGTTCTTCCGCAGGGTACTTTGCAGAGTGCGGTGAACTTTTGCTGTTTGTGGAAGCAATCAGGCTGGGTTTAAATGAGGACTTGTCTCTTTTGAGCACTTGTGAGCGTGTAAGGAATTGTGTGTTTTCTTTGTGAGCCATTATATTTATCCCTGAACTTCAATTGCCTAAGTCTTCCAAACTAATTGGAAAACCATCGCCACACACAATTCAATTGGTTTGCTATGGAGAACCTGAGCTTGTGCATGAATGTGTGGAACATGCTGACATGGCGATGGGCTTGGAGCATGGGTGGGGTGTGAAGCATCTTTGGCTGCTGGGGTATTGTGAGGTGAATGGAGTAAGACGGAGGAGGTAACCTGAGGCATAAGTATCAGCTCATCCTCACAAGAGAGTCCTTTGTTCTTTTAAGGTCAGAGGTCTGAAGTGAACAGGAAGCCATCTTGGAGCTGCGCAGACGTGCTTGGGTAGATTTTTCACAAAGTTGCCACTGTGAAACAGCCTTGGAGCAATTCCATCTGATCCATCTTTTAGTTTCAGTTTTAGTTTGTTTTCTAGCTTAAGGAAAATGTCTTACCATTTTCCACAGTAGTTTGCTACACTGGTGGCCAACAAACTCCTTGGAACTGATTGGAACTCTCTACCAACGCTGGGATGCAGGTTCAGCAACTCTGCATCAGACCGTCCCTGAACTCTCAGCAGAGAGGTCATCCCTAAGAGCTTGAAGGCTGTGAAGGGTTTATTTTTCCTCACTGTTGGTATATCTGCCCAGAGTGAATGGCTCCTAAGCCAGAAGGCTTTGGGGGGAGGGGTATTTAAGAGGGGCAGGTCACCCTCTTTTACCTGGGAACATTTTGGATGCCTGTGGACAACTGTCATGGGTCTTCCTCTAGTACCCTAAGGATGCACATTAGAATACTCAAGGTTCTAGATCAGAGCACAGCCAGCAGTGTGGAAGAGGCCACAGGACGATGGCAGGGGCCTTGTTTTCAGTTACACACACAGCTATGACACTTACCTAACGTCTCAAAAGTCCATCTTCCCAGGATCCCAGGCCTCAGGGCCCTGTGTGGCTCTTTAATGGGTCGGGAAGTGAGGTTAACCCTCTCTTCTGTTGCCAGTGGAAGAGAGAACAAGATTTTGACCTGCAGCTGCTGGAGCGGGCTGCGCAGGGGGACAGAAAAGACAAAGAGGAGGGCTGGCTGAAAGTGCAAGCCACACCTGTCACGGAGTTGGACCTGGAGCCACAAGACTATGACTTGGATATCAACAAAGAGGTGAGGATAGGGGCTTCCTTCATGCTTTCTAGAAGTCACCAGGCAGGGTTCGGCTTCACTGTTCCCCAAGAAGGTCGATCCATGAACGGAGGCTTGAGACCATAAAGGCGCCAGTGTTCCTATTAATGCTTAAGCCTATCTCTGTAATTGGGAGCAAATTGTGCCCCTGTTCCTCAGTGGTGATGTGGGGAGAATTAAGTGACTAAGCATGTTTCCCAAGAGGATTAAAAAATGTTCCCTGGATCATTAGTGGTGGCCCTTGAAAATGACCTCTTAGACAGACTGTAGCTATCCTAGTGGTGGGAAAATACAAGACAATGTCTGAAAAGTCACTGGAGACAGTTCCAGCCAGGACTGGAGCCAATTTCGGTCTGAACTCTTCTGCTGCCCTCTGGTGGCTCACTTGCCTCATGACAGGTCAGGCCTAGGAAAGCAAGGCAGGAGAAAGGGAGGGAGGGAGTGCCTGATTGCCAGTCAGAGTCTTCGCTGGTCACCTTTGGTCTGTGGGTAGTGTCTGCAGCTGCTTCTGTCCTTTGTGTCCCTAGCACTGGGATGACACACGGTAGGCATGCTATTAATGTCTGCTGATGGAAGATGTTGCTCTATGGATTTTCAGTGCCCCAAAACATTTGTATGGGAACTTGGCCTGCTGCACTTCTCCCAGGTGTAGGCTGAGTTTGGATGAGACACTAAGTCTTCCACAGTCTGTCTGACTTGGGACAGAGCCTCAAGTGCCCTACTCAAGGGGGTGGGGGATGGAGGCTTTGCCACTGTTTGTTAAAATCTGGGTCTCACACATGCCAAGTACATAGAGCTATATACCTACAGGGCAGATTCATTTACAAGCTGAGTTTGATTTGAGGTTTTATTTTGGGGGGGGTTGTTTGTTTGTTTTTGGAATGTTTATGGATTCATGGGGAGGAGGGGCCTCTGAGAACAAAGAGAACACTGTGGGTAAGTTGGTGCTTGAGTTTCTGGATTCTTGGTTCTTGCAGTCAGTAAATCCAGCCTCCTGGCCCCAGGCCGTTTTCTCTGACAACCTAAACAGTGGGAGCCAACAGTCTGGGCTTTCTTATTCACAAAGAACCTCCATGTGCTGTCTTGGCAGTGCAAAGATGCCCTCTACTGTCTTAATTGGCCTGACAGCCCCGGGAAAATGTCTTTCCTTATCTCTAACCTAATTTCCTCCTGCTACAATGCAATCTACTTCCTTCTCTAGATCTGTCCTGGTCAGATGACAGATTTTTCTTGCCACCTTTCAACAAAGTGAAGGGCCACATGGGTTCATTTCTGCTACTGAGACTAAAATCCACCCAGTCAAGGGAGAAGAAAACTACTGTGAGGCAAATTACGATGACAGTTTGAAAATTACAAGCTTAGACAATCCTAAAAGTGTGGTTGGAGGTTTTCAGAGCTTTGGACAGCCGGTTAAAATCAGGGATTCCGATTGGTGCTGGCAAAAAAAAAAAAAAAAGAAAAAAGATTACTTTAATTTTTTTTTTTAAATTTACAATTTACTAAGACAACCGGTGGAGTTTGTTCTTTCCTACCGGTGGCTCCCCAAGATCAAACTTGAGTCATTCGGCTCGGTGGCAGCAAGCACCCTTACCTGCTGATCTGTCTCTCAAAGGCACAAATTTTTAAACATTTTTTCAGGAAAGGGGTGCTATGAGCGCTGAATCTATAGGTAGCAGGAGGGGAGGGGTCTTGTCACCTGGGAGAATCATCTGTGTCCTTGGGTGAGGCCCCCTGTGGTTAGGGATGGGGGCCATCTCACCTACCGTACCCCACCCCCCACCTCCAGAGCATTTTTAGGAAAAGTAACTTAGATAAATCTGCAGAGTCAAGCTGGGGGCAGGTGGAGAGCCGATGGAGGACTACCAGTCTTCATCCATTGAGGTGAAGGTAACCGTCTGTGCTCTGCTCAGAAGTATGAAGAGCACCTTGGTTATTAACCAGTCGCATGCTGTCATTATTGGTTTAAGTTTTTCAGTCAGTCAGGTCTGACCTGCATGCCCCCCAAACTCAGCAGTGTGTTTGAGATGGGAAAGGTTTTACTACGGTCATGTCAGCTCACCCCGTCAGTTACTGGTGGTCTCTAAGCTGCCTGGCTGTGGTTCGACCTTTTTTGTTTGTTTATTTGGTTGGTTAGTTGGGCTCTGTTGTTTTCTGTTTTGAGACAGGACCTTTCTAGGTAGCCCTGGCTGGCCTGGAACTCACTATGTGGACTAGAGATTGACTTGTCTCTGCCCCTCTAGTGCTATCTCACAGCCCTGAAGTAGGACGCAGGACTTTGGCTTCCTCCTTCCTTCCACCCATCGATCCATCATTCATCCATTACAGAGGATTTACTGAAGGACTACTCAGTGCCACGTCCCTGAATCAGAGCAGAAGAAACTCCTTAGGTGGGAGGGACACTAGAGCTCCCGTGGGTCAGCTCACTGGGGATCAAGTGCTTCCTGTGAGAGTCTCAGTGTGTTGCCTGCCTTGCTGTTTCCCTTTTCCCTTGGCCTCTAGAAAGCTGTCTAGTGTAGCAGGAAGAGCATGTGCTTTGGTGTGAGACCCAGGTTCAAGTCCTTAGTTCCATAACTGATTCATTTGATGATCTTTGCAAGTTTCTTCACCTATGTATGTGGAGCTGGGTGAGCTGTGGGGAACAGGCCTGGAGCAAGAGTGGGGTTGAGGCATGTCCAAATCCTAATTTTTTTTCCTGATATTGGCAGGAGTAGGATCATGCCCCGCCCCCTCCATCCCAGACACACACACACACATACCTGCCCTGAGCCTGCATATCCCCTACCCCTACCGTTGCTGCACCAGAGGAGGTCTTGTAGTCCAGCAGCCAGGTTCAATTTCTTTTCCCCTTATAAGGTCTTGTCCAGCAGCACCTGGAATTCTTTCTTGTTCACATGAGGCACTCCCAGCACCTCGCCCCAGCCAGTGATGCACACTACCCCACTCCCCAAAGGGTTAAACAGCCTTCATTTCCCCCAGCTAAATGAGCTCTCAGTGAAGCCTGCCTCCCTTCACCTGAGATCTCCATCACCCCTGCCACCATCATCCTCTCAGGCCACCAGTCTGATTGTGGGTGATCATGCTGTTAAGGGAGAGGGAACAGAGTGGAACCAACATCTGTAGACTTTGTTGCTTCCCACAGGGTAGGAAGGGTGGGAAAAACATGTCTCAGACCAGAGCATCTGAGCTTACCCTCCATCCTACCACCTGATCCTCTCCCCAGCTGTCTAAACCAGAGAAGGTCTCCATCCCAGAGCGTTATGTGGAACTAGACCCTGAGGAACCACCCAGCCTGGAGGAGCTGCAGGCACGGTACCAAAAGGCGGAGAAGATACGAAACATCCTTGCCCGGTCAAGGTCAGCCTTGCTCAAATGTAGAAGTCTCACAGACACCATCTCAGGTGATAGCTCAGCCATGAGAAGACCCAGGCCAGGCTGACTGGCCAACATTTTGCTAGGCTTTGTTTCAAATGAATTCTTCTGATTGAAGGGGGTTGGCAGGTACTCCAACAAGAAAGCTTGTCTCAGTCACCTATAAGGCGCTGAAGAACTTGTGAAGGGTTCCTATCCCAGGCCCATGTCCCCAGTGACTGGCAAGACATTAGAGAGGTGGACTTAGTGGAGGTTACCTCCTATGACAGTCCTCATAACATTTGTTCCCACACTCCCGTATGGATCCATAGATGGGCCCAGGCTTTACCTATTTCCTGAACATTGAGCTTGACAACAGTAAGTGGTTTTTCTAATCTCTGAGCTTTCCTTATCTGGATTTATCAGGAGTCACCAGCTGTAGCCCTTAACTTGAGGCCTACAGGAGGAACTGAGTTGTGTTCATTGTGGGTTTAGGAAGAAGTAGACATTGGTGTCTTGGAAGAAAATGGGCAGTGCATATCTGATGCCCTCAAAGTGTTGAAGATTCACCTCCCTAAAGCCACGTGTGAGGCTGGGGGCTGGGTGTTGAGACTCACAACTTTCTCTCTGGTCCCTAACAGCATGTGCAACCTGCAGCCACCAGGCCAGGACCGCAACAGCCTGGCCGACCTGGACTCGCAGCTGCAGGAGCAAGAGCGGATAATCAACATTTCCTATGCCCTGGCCTCTGAGGCCTCTCAGCGCAGCAAGCAGGTAGCAGGTAAGGCTGTGGGTGCCAACTTCCAGGGCCCAGTCCCTGCCTGCTGCTCTCGGTGACTTGTCCTAGAACCAGGAAGTTAGGAGATGTTGGCAGGGAAGGGTGTATTCTCTCCCCTACCTGACCCAAGTAACAGAAGAGCTGCCACTCAGCTCCATAGCTGCCAGCTCTGAGACCAGGCAACAGGGACGTTCCTTTCCTTAGGAAAAAGAGGCAGACGTGACACTGGAGCAGGGCTTTCATGGTGGGGCAAAGCAAAGAGCTCCTCTGACCTCTGCCTAGAAACCCTTCCTTGGTCCTCAAACCAAAATCACTCACTCACCTTGTCAGTGACCCTGTGACAGAAAGTAGGAGAATCGAGAATTGAGGCTTTGCCAGCCTAGCTAAAAGAATATCACTGTAATTTAGAAGAAGCATACAGCTGCTGTGCTATATATGAAGGCTGCTTTAAGCATGTGTCTGTAAACCCAGTGATCAGGAAGCTGAGGCAGGAGGATTGCTGCTATAGGCTAGGCTAGCCTAAACTAGAGTGAGACCCTGTCACAAAGAAAACAGTAAAAGAGACTCAGTCAGAAAAGGGTCTGTGGGCTCTGTTCACATCTCTCTCTCTGTGGTAGCCTTACAGTTCATCCAGTGTGGTTTGCCCCTTATACAGAGGCCATTGTGTCTGTATGTGGTGCCCCTGGCCAACTGTACTTCTGAGACTGTCAGAGGACTCAGAGTAGTACCATTCTGTTTCCTGGTCCTCTAATCCACCTGGTCAAGTGTGAGACCAGCAAGCCCTGTGGCTACCAACACTGGGGAGTCCAGAGTGGGAAGCAGCTTGGGCATGGCTTGTGGAGGCCCGTGAGTGACAAATGATCAGACAGACGCCAGACTCTCAGGAGTAGCCTGTTCTCTGTCCCCATGCCCTGATGCTATGGCATCAAGTGTGGTGGCTTGTTCCCAGCTAAGGAGGTATAGACAGGTTGATCAGGATTTCAAAGTCATTCTTGATTATATAGCTAGTTTAGGCCCAGTGTAGACTACACTAAGGCCCTGTCTCAAAACAAAATCAGACTAAAGCAGAGTCTCTGGTGTCTCTGCTGTCCCCGCTCTGTCTGAGACATGTAGAGGGGCTGAAAGCAGTCTTGTGTTGCTGTGGCTGGATCTTAGGCAATCCCATCTCAGCAGCCTCCCTGGGAGGCTGCCCCTGCCCTCCAAGCACCTCCCCATGCTGTGCTTTTTCCTCCTCTGTGCCTCTACCACATCTTAGGTGGTACTGGGGGTTGAACTCAGGGCCTCTGGTATGCTGGGCTGACCCACCAGTCACTGAGCTCCATTCCCAGCTTGCTCTCACTCTGATCAATCCCTCCTGCTCTCTCCCACACAGCTGATGACCCCAGCCCTGCCCTGACCTACCTCTTGTTCCGCACCTTTCTTCCGTCCTGCTCTCTCCCCCAATCAGAAACTCCAGGCAAGCTAGACCTCATGGATCTGCCCCCAGGACCAGGCCATTAGTTGGGGGCAGTCAGGCCAGGCCACACAATCTTGCTAGGCAGGGCATAAGGTGGTGTGGGTGGACAGATCACTCTAACACACTGCTTGATTCCTGTGTGCTCTGTCTAGTGCAGCAGCTGGCCCTCCTCCCGCCTAAAGCCCCCCTGTCCTCCAGGACGGTGCCACCTTACCCCCCCTTAAGCAACGGACTGCACTACACCTTTGTCTAACACCTTCCAAGTAAGAGCCCCGCCTAGCTGGCCTGCTACTGTGCGCCCCGTAGTCTGAGCATGCGCCTCCTGCCTTCCCACTGCTGCTGAGCTGACTGCAATGCCCCTTGCTGTTGCTTCCTTCCATTGGCACTGCGGCCGCCGCTGGGGGGTGGAGTGGGATGCAGTTGGAAGAGATTCACCTTTAAGGAACTCAGTCCTCAGGCCTCAATAGAGGTCGACATCAAAGGTGCTATTGTGCTGAAATACCTTGGGGGAGTTCCCAGCCCATTGCCACCTACAGATGATGTCACCAATTAGAGTTCATGCTGCAGAACCGGAGAGTTGAGGTACAAGAGAAGAACTGAAAAAAATCTTGCCACCTTTTAAATCCATTTAGATTTTTGTGCTGGGCTGCATCCACAGCTGTCCTGGGCCACAGCCAGTCTATGGGCCATGGGTTGGGCCTGTCTTCTAGGGCACTAGCTGCACTTGCTCATTCCCTTTTCCCAGGCAGCTTGATGCCCCCTAGAACAGCATAGGGCACAATGCCAGTGTCTGGGGAAAGGAAGAGTTAGCGCTCACTCTTTCAGGGCTGGGTTACAGTCCAGGGTTACAGAGGACAAACAGACACCAAGAGACTGAGCTCAGTCCTCACACAGCAAGGCCTGGCATGTTATCAGTCACTGGTGCCTTAGGGAAGAGACAGAGGCAAGTCCAGGACCACAGCCCCTCAGGATGCTTGGTACGACCCCATGAAGTGAGTGGCTGACAAGGACAGGCAGTAGGTAAAGGAAGGAGCTCCGCCCTCACTAACCACACCCAACTTCCACCCCCAGGAGCCAGCAGGCCCAGCTCCTGACCAGTTGTGAGCGAATTCACTCACGGGCTGTGTCAGCTGTCCAGTCTGTATCCTCACCTGGACCACAGAGATCACACTAGAGTTCCCTGCAGCCAGTTTCTCCCTAATAGTCTGCCTTGCTGTCTGTTTGCATAGTCCCCTTCTCTTTCCTTTACTGGATTATGGTTAACCTTGTTGAGGGACTGCTGAGTGCTAGGCATTGTGCTGAGTGTCTCCTGATCTCATAACCACCCTATAAAGCTGTTCACTCCATTTTGTAGCCAAGGAGATGCAGCTCAGACACCCAAGGGACTTGCCCAAGGAGATGAAGCTTGTGTCAGGGTGCTAAGGCCTTTGGTATGAACCCGCACTTTTATTCTCCATCACTGCTGGCTTGTGGGCTTATCTGGGCCACCCCAGAAGCTCCAAGGGTCTACAGAAGAGGCCAATGGGGGTATCACTTTGCACTCGGGCCCTCCAGCTTAGGACTATCCGTGCTTCAGAGCCGGCACGCTCTAGCCAGCCTGCGGGCAGGAGGAGGTAAGCCAGCTTGGGCCTAGTCTGGCTGTCAGAAGGGGTAGAGCTGACCTCCATGGAAAGCTGCAGCCATGTAAAGGCCTCTGGGACTTACCAGGACCTCTGATATATATATATAAATGTTTTCTTAGAAATCTGAGCAGACAGAGATGCCAGGGAGAGGCTCTGTTCACTTTTAAGCCCCAGACTCTGTCTTGTGCTAGGCCTGAGATGCTCTCTCCAGAGCTCAGCCATGCTTCTTCCTCTCATGGCACCACAGGCAGGTTAGAACCACTCTGTTCTTAGATTAGAAAACAAGTCTTAGAGGTGGGGCTATCTAATCCTCCAGAGAATAAAGGGCAAAGCCATTCACCCCCTTGTGTGAGTGCAGTATGTTTCCTAGAGGTGGAAGGAAAGTGGAACCCAATGCTTTGGGTCATAGAAGAAAAGGTCCCGTGACAGCGGCCGCCTTGCCCACACACCCTGCTCTCCTGCTCCATCTGCCAGCCCCTGTCATGCGTGTGCACAAACATCCCCACTCTGAGGACAGGAACAAAGGTTCAACAGCCTCTCATTGTCTCCTGTGCTTTTTGCCAGCCCAGGCAGTAACGGACCCATGATCCAGTATGCAGAGGAGAAGCCTGGAGCCGGGGGCCCAGCGAAACCAGCATCTTCCTGGAATATGGTTCTCCCCACCCCAGTGGAAGCCTTTCCAGCTGAGCAGGGGCTCTGGCTGGAGGAGAGAGCAACCCACCCACCATGGTGGGTGCCGCACAGAGCCAGGGCTCCATCCTAACACACGCCCATTTGTTTCAGTCCAGATTCCTTTTTACAGACGACAGAAGCACTTTTGATACATGATGTAAAATATACTGTATTTTAGAATCAGAATATATTTTATAATGCTCACCTAGAGGACTGAATAGCTGGTAAGGTGAGCCTGCAGGGTTTTGTAACCACACATAGGGATTCAGATACTATGGGGGTGGGGTGGCATAGGGGTAGGGAGAGCGACAAGGCAAGCAGGGGCCATTTCCACCATCCATGAACCCAGACAGTGGCGGGATTTGAGGCTGTGCTCCCAGTGGATTCCAGTATGAAGCTCATTATGCTCTCCAGGACAAGAGAGGCAGTTAACTGCAGAGGTCCGCATCCCTGAGCTGATGCCCAGCCTGGGAAACTCGACCTGGATGGCCCCTTGGAGCCTGTCTGTTGTGCCTTGGCCCTTGGTTCTGACTGAGGAGCAACCATGTGCTCAAAAGCCTTGGCTCTTCAGCTGTCGGTGAAGTGAAGTTCCCTCAGCAAACAATTCTCAGAAGAAGAAGAATTAAAAAAGCCACTGTGAAGTGGAAAGTGGAGATGTGTAATAGCAATAAAATCAGCATGGGGTGGCATCTGCTTGCAAATGCCTAGCGGTGAGCCCCACCCAGGCAATACAAAGGACCTATGCTTCCTGCTGTGGGGAAACCCAGAACAGCTTCCCTTGACTAGGTCTGGTGAGGTGGGCAGGCAGGGCCAGGACACAGGATTGTGACCTGACTCCAGCCCAGCTGATGAGGAGGCAGCCATGCCAGACTCTGGTTTGGCCCTTTATTTGACTTGTCTCAAGATAGTCTACATGCAGAAAGCAATGAAAACCATAAACACCTTTAAACAAAAATTTGTCTTTGACTATGCTTAAAAGAAGAAACAGAATCCTTGAATATATTTAGAAGTTACTGTCTATTTTTAACTAACTCCATGTGCTGCCAGTATCAACTTCATGACATTTGCCAAAATAAGATTTTATTTTTTGCCTTTATAAGATTTTGTTGGAACAAATGAAATGAATATTTTGCAAGAAAAAGTTAATTTAAATAAAAGTGTAATGGTTTGCAAAAAAAAAAAGTGATGTATAGATTAAAATATTAACCTCATCTGTGTCCTGGTTCTTGCTGGCTGTATTCATTCACCATGGACTGTGTGCACTTACTCTCTGCCTCCCCCTTACATTCACGTAGAAAAGAGCCTTCTCACTGACAGCTCCTTGACATTTGAGTGAGTTTGGAGGACTGAGGGGTGAGGATCCCTTTTCCACCCTCAGGCAAGGATCCCTATTTGGGGCTGGTTTGGGCTGGCCAGCCCCAATCTAATCCGAGAAAGCAGAAGTGGTACAACAGGCCCCCATCCAACCCACACACTGTGCCTGTTCAAATGAGGCCTGTTAGTGATGGACCGTTGCAAACTGATTTGCATTTAATTCATCTTGACTTGGGATTCATGCTTAAAGCAGAAGGCAAGGGGCCAGTTTGGTTTAGAGATGTGTGTGTTTCCAAGTTCCTGCACGGGCCAAGAAGTGTGTTGGAGGTTTGGAGAAGCCTTCCAAGTATTTAAATTGGGAAAGTGGATTCCCAGGCATCTGGATGGGGAGAAGGGAGAACAGTTATTATAGCCACTGTTCGTTTGGAATTTAAAAGTAAGAAGTACTCTTCTTGTTTTAAACATTAGCTGGAATGTCACATAGCAGATTAAAGCAAGAAGGGGACGATCTGCAACTGAGTGCAGTCGTCTGAAAAAAAAAACAACAAAATCTGGCAGCTGATACCCACCCCACAGGGAGCCAGCCTTCTGTAGGCCTTTTCTCAACAGATCCACACTGGTAGTTTCGAACAATCAGATTGGTTTGTGTTTCACAGCTATAGCCCTGTGTGTGAAGGAGCATGGCAACTGTCTGGCTGCTGTTCCCAGGCTTCTCCATCAGGGTTCTAGAAGAACAGTGGCTTCAGTTTCAGTCTGCAGAGAAAGTGAAAGGGCTTCAGCCAAACTCAATGCAAAGCCCTCAAAAAAAAAAAAAAAAGAAAGAAGAAAAGAAGAGCTGGAGAGATGGCTCAGCAGTTAAGAGCACTGACTGCTCTCCTAGAGGTCATGAGTTCAATTCCCAGCAACCACATGGTGGCTCACAACCATCCGTAATGGGATCTGATGCCCTCTTCTGGTGTGTCTGAAGAGAGCAATGGTGTACTCATATACATGAATAAATCTTTAAAAAAAGAAAGAAAAAAAAAAAGAGTCACAGGATGGCTATGTCTATGTAGGAGGCAATGTGCTGCCTCTCAACCCCTAGAGGGGACTTGGCTTCCTGAAGTAAGATGAAATCATCTAGGGGCTGGAGAGACGGCTCAGTCATCAGTCAGATGGCTGCACAAGCATGAGAGCCTGAATTCAATTTCTAAAACCGGAGTGAGCAAGCAAGCTTGGTGGTGTGTACCTGTAATCCCAGCCCCTGAGAGACTGAGACAGGAGGAGCCTGGAGCTCCCTGACCAACCAGCCTAGCTCCAGATTCAATGAGGGACCCTATCTCAAACAGTAAGGTGTGGATCCAGGTTAGAGGGTCGTGCTCGCTCGTGCAGAGGACCCAGGTTTGCTTCCTAGAACAGAACCTGCGTGTGACTCACAGACATCTATAACCCAATTTCAGGGTATCTGACTTCCTTCAGCACTGTGACACTACACACAAGCAGCACCCACATGTACATGTAGGCAAGACACTCAGATACATAAGTAAATCTAAAAAAACAAGATAGAAGAGCAATTGAGGGAGAAGCTGACATGGGCCTCTTCCACACGTGTGTGCACTTGCACACATGTTCATGCAAACACTATTTGCACAAAGTTAAAAAAAAAAACCAAACCAAGATGAGGCCTTTTGTAGACTGGCTCACTAGGTATGTGCAGTCTGGGCTTAAGAACTCTGGTTCAGTATTTCCCGCTGTGTATCTTTACACAGAGAGTGGAGGATGTGAGTTGCTCCTGTCTCATCTCTAAAGTAATTTGCATTTGTTTATTTTATGTGTGTGGATGTAGACACACATGGCCTGCGACTCACACGTGGAGGTCAGAGAACAATGTGAGATTCGTCCCTCCTATCATGTGGGTCTCAGAGAATCAATATCAGGTCATCAGTCTTGGCAGCAAACACCCTTACCCATTAAGCTAGACCTGTTCACCTCTTAATTCTGACTGCAACCCTGGCCCCAGGAGAGACCCAGGCTGTCCTGTCTAATCTTGGCCAGAACCAGCAAGGAAATTCTAAGATCGACTGTTAAACAGGAATTAGGAATGAAATCTGCTAACCTTCACTTGACCTTCCAGAACTGCCTGCACTTTTACCACATCCATGATTCTAGCTAAATAAAAACAGTTTGCATACAGTTTGTGAGGTAGGAATGGTGGACTGAGGGGGATGCTAAAAGCAAGCAGGCATCCTGGTTCATCTCTTTAGCCTGCGTTGGTGTCTAGCTGTGGGCCTATAAGCCTGTAGTGGGTCCCCTCACCTCCCTCGAAGGCCTTGGTTACCTTCACATGGACAGGGTTCTTGCAGTTTTCCTGGCTACTTTTGGTAGTATCTTTCACCTGCTCCCCCAGGGGCCTGCAGCTTCCCAGCATGTGTGAAGGGGATAATAGTAACACAGACTCCGGCCCAGCCAGCCAGGAGCCTCTTGTGGGCTCCGGGTTCTCCCCAGGAGCAGCACACAGTACCCTGTGCTAAGTCCTTTTGTGTTCTCACCAAGGGTGGGAATGAAGCAGCAAATTATTTGTCTAATCCACAAAATCACATTTCTGAGACATAGCAGGCCAGTGCTGGGAGCCCTCTGCTTCAGGATCCGCAGCACACAGGGGCTTTGCAAGGGACTTCTCAGGTTGTTCTGAAAAGAACAAAGGGACTAGGCTGGGGGGGACATGAAAAAAATGGCAGCCCCTCCCAGCACAGTAAACATGCCATCGCTTTGCAGCCTGCACTCAAAAGGCAACCAATTTCAATGCTCCCCCAGCAAAAGAAACCTTTCTTCAGAGCGAGTGGCGGGGTACAAAGGCAGAGCACAAAATGTACGCACATCAGAGTCCCCGCAATTCTGTTTGAACAAGCATATTGATTGGGCCTGACCCTCTTACATTTTTTCCCTATTATTTGAAAAGGTGCATCTAAGTGTGGTGAATTGAATCAACGGGACTGAACTTTCCACGAGAACTTCTCGAGGTATTTCTTTAGTTCAAAGCTTTTGAATTTTAAAGGGCATTTTTAATATGAATCTGTTGAGTATTCTTTGCCACAGCCCAACAAGTCATGTTAAATGCAGATGAGGCTAGAGTAGCCTGGGAGGGTGGGTAGAGCTGGAGGGTGCAGAGTATGAACCAACCCCGCCTTGTGGGAGAGCCAGGCTTTGCAGAGAGGGTAAGCCCCAGGTTGGGGAACAGGGCAGACACTAAATGGGACTTTTCAGAGTACACGAGAGTAGTCTCAAAGCTCTCCCATGGAGGAGGAAGTGTGCCACCAAGCTGCCTACTGTCCTACATTCTTATGGAGCTGAGAAAGAACTAGGCAGGCAAAATCCCTTAGCTGGGGTCCCAGTTAGAGTGAGCACACCTTCCTGGTGTCCCCCAGTGCTAGGCAGACCCCTTCAGTCTGTGACAGGAGATCTGCCTCTGTACTTTGAGTTATATCTTAATCCTTCAGGGGCCAGATGTCAGGCATTTTGCTATTTGTGTGAGTCCCTTGTACCATCCTGGTTCTGGTCCCCGGAAGCATCTAGAGCTCTCAGTCTACCCAAACCATGGTTAAGAGACTTAGCACACTCAAGACTCATGCTTCCTTTTTTTAAATTAAAGATTATTGTAGTTGTTTTATGTGTATTGTTTTGCCTGTATGTGTGTACCACCTGTGTGCAGTGCTGGGAGAGGCCAGAAGAGGGCATCGGATCCCATGGAACAGCATTACAAACACCTGCGAGTTGCTTGTGGCTGCTGGGACTCAAACCTGGGTCTGGCAGGGCAGCCAGAGCACTCAATGACTTGTGCCATCTCTCCAACCCCCTCATGGCTTCTTGTCAAGTTCTCTGGTCCTTGGTCTGAGTTTCTGTTTATCTGGAGGCTTTTGACTCTCAAAAACATTTTCTTCCTAAACTTAGAGTTTAGGCTCAGAGGCAGAATTGTCCCAGAGGAGCTGATAAAGCCTCCTCCACTCACCCACCCATCCCGGCCTTGCACCTAAAGAATTTATGGTGTGGACATCTCTGCAAAGTCCTTCCAGCAAAAGACAGTTGCTGGGGAGTCCCTGGAAGGTCAGAATTGCTGTAAAAGTCAGTTCTTTGTGCCTGTCTCTGCCCACAAAGGCAGGAGCCATACCCTTCCCCCTTTCAGTCCCTCCTCTCCTGTTCACACCCCCCAAATGTTTTGTCCTGCTATCTTGTTAGATTGAGATTCACCCTTGTTTTCTTGGCTTTCACTTTCAGGTTTCCTGCTATGGTCAGTGTGTCTAGGGCCACAATAGCCAGTGAGCATAAGAGACAGTGACCAACAGCCTATATCTCCACTGGTCTGTTCCCCAGGGAGAGCGCTGCCAGCATCTGCCTGAGGGTATCCCTCACTGAGTCCTCTCCAGTTTGAGTCTCCCAACAGGCAACTTCTAGATGTCTTGCTGCCTGGGAAACTGCTCCAAGCTGGCCTCTCACCCCTGTACTCCAGGACATCTGCCCCTGCCTGGCTTCTTGTCATCTCCCCAAGCTATAACCCTTGGGGGTACCAGAAGGATCTTTCTCTTTATAAATAGTTCTCCCCATCCCAGCCAAGCCCCCAGTCCGTGCACATGGGCGGAGTTTTGCCACTCTGGTCTCTACCTCTTGGCCCCAAAGCAAGGCTAGAAGAGGCTGCAGAGGACTTCCTCAGCACCTGCTCAGGTCTTTGAGCTTGGCAACTGCCTCAGTATCCTTCCTTGTTCAGGAATTGCATCTCATTTCAAGTAGCTACTGCAGTGTGGCCAAATACCTTAAACTTAGCAGCTTAACACTGTAATTAATTATCTGTCATGATTATGTAATTACCCAGGCTCATCAGCTGGGCAGATCTTCAGCTCTTACAGTAGAGGCAGGGAGTGCACTGGGGCGGCC